GAACTGCATTGATGCCATTAGTCTTCCGCGGCAAGGTGCTTGTGTTCCAGAAGAGCAATAAACCTGGACAACCTGAACCCTTGAAAATCAGGACCTTGCAAGAAAAGGAAGCAGCCATGAGATCCAAAATGGGGACCCAAGCTACCACAGTTCAGACCCCGCGCTCATCTCGGTCCACGCTGGCGTTTTTGTCGCTCATGACAGGCGTGTGGAATTATGACCATCTCGGAAAGCTTTTCTTTGACCAGAAGTTCAAGGATAGAAGGCAGGGGTACATTACGTTTGGAAAAACAGCCCTGGTGGTAGGTACTGTGCTTTCATCTTCACTTCCGAACACCGGAGGGTTCTTGTCAGATTACCAAAGACAGCGAAAAAATATTGTTCCGGTAGATACATGCTTCGATTGGCTTGTAGGACCAGCGCTGATTTCAAACGCCACTCTAGGTATATCTCCAGGCCGACGTCCGTGAGGAGTTCAACTGGCATTGCAGAATCGACATCCCGTACCTAATAATGGAACATGTCATTCCATCCTTCGATAATGGGCAACGCGGAGCAATTACATTCACGCTCAAGTCCCCGCCCAAGTTTTACAAGATCCGTTCTACCGAAGATTTACATCTATACGCTGGCGAGGAGGCGCCTAAGACGGCTGATATCCTCCCAGGTTTCGCAGCTCTTGATCTGGGAGCAAAGCCAACTCAGAAAACTCGACTGGAAAGGCTTTGTGGACTGAATCGTGTCAACAACAAAAACTCGGCTCTGTGTATGGTGTATAAACTTACTTTCATCGACACGCGAAGCGCTCAACATGCTTGGAACTTTGTCAAAGAATTCTCGGTGCCGGAGGTTCACTGCTGGAAAGTAATGACCCCCACAGAGCCAACGAATCGGATCGAAGTTGAATATGCGATCATCGAGAAAGATCTGTCCGCATACAATCCGTCGATTCCAAATGAATTTGACTTTGCAGTACGCTACCAGCTAATGGCGCTTATCTTGGAGGGTACTGTCTCTCCGATGAGGATGCCCGAGCTTATGAGGCAGGTACAACATATCGCGAAGCAGCATGGCGCCGAGTTCACTGCAAGTGCAGTCAAACGACTGGGACAACAGATTCCTACGCCGGCTCCAGACACGGATGCGAAGCGTTTTGACATTCAAACACTCGTCGGTCTGATGCAGGAGATCATTCAAGACAGCAAAAGCAGAGAGCTGACGTCTCGCGACTTGAACAAAAAGCAGAAAAAGCATCATCACCTCGCTTTGACATACAAGGCCACTGTCACCCCAACAGGTACGTCTGTTCTGGTAGCGAATACTAACAGCTACCAATGATTATGCTTCAGAAAATTACTGATTACATTCCTGAACAGGCATTCTACTGCGAGGCCCCGACTGGGGAGTATCCAACCGCATTCTACGGAAGTATGCTACACATACAGAATATTTCATGAGAGTCTTCTTTGCGGACGAGGACGGCCTCTCAGTGTTCCACGACTCCCGAGCTACGCAAGAGGAAGTTTATAAGCGTTTTCGGACCGTGCTCATGGACGGCATCTCAGTCGCAGGACGGATGTTTCAATTTCTCGGCTTTTCACATGCATCACTTCGTTGCCATCAAACTTGGTTCATGGCCCCCTTCGTGAAGGACGGCGTCATGGTCCGGGCTAGAGATATCATACGAGATCTCGGCGACTTCTCACATATCCACTGCAGCGCCAAATGCGCTGCTCGAATCGGGCAGTCGTTCTCAGATACCATCTTCTCGGTCCCGGTTCCAACCACTGCTTATGTCACTGAGACGAAAGTCGACGTCGTGAGGAATGGTCGGACGTTCAGCGATGGATGTGGAACAATCTCCTTGGATCTTCTTCAAAAGGTTTGGAGAGCTCTTCCGCCGGAAAGGAGGGAGCAGAGGCCAACCATACTGCAAATCCGGTACCGTGGAGCGAAAGGTGTGCTATCACTCGACAAGTCCTTGGAAGGCCAGCAGTTACACGTCCGCGAGAGCATGACGAAGTACATTGCCAAAGAGAGCTGGAGGGACTTGGAGCTCTGTGGAGCAGCCTACAGACCACTGATGGTTTTCCTGAACCATCAATTCATCAAGATCCTCGAAGATCTGGGAGTTCCGGCAGAGAATTTCAAGGCAGTACAAGACGATGCTGTTAATACGTTGAAGATGATCACTGAGCACCCGCTCAACGCGGCCAGTTTTCTTGGTAAGTTTTTACACTTGACGAAGACCGAGATATTCTTGCAAAGCTCAACGCTGGTCGAGTGCGGATAGTAGACATACTCAAAGCTCCTGACATATACCATTAGTGTATGCTTGACTCTATACTAACACTCTTGGCAGAATACTCGCATTCCAGCGTCTTTGCTAAGGTTCCGAGATTGTTTGAGCTCATGTACCAGATCGGCCTGTCATTCCATGCAGATCGGTTCTTGACGGACATTGTCGAGGTTGCAGCAATGTCAAACCTGAGGAGTCTCAAGTATCGCGCTCGCATTCCAGTCACGAACGGCTTTCTTCTATACGGAATTATGGACGAGACCAACACTCTGCGAGAAGGAGAGGTCTACATCCCAACACAACAGTACGATGCAAACGGTGTCAAGAAGAGAAGTATACTTTTGGGTAAGCGCATAGTGATTACCAGAGCGCCTGCGTTGCACCCCGGCGATGTCCAGCTCGTCGAGGCAGTCGACGTGCCTATGAATTCGCCACTCCGAGCACTCCACAATTGCGTAGTGTTCTCTCAACGGGGCCCACGAGACTTGCCATCACAGCTCAGTGGCGGAGACCTTGACGGAGACCTATTCCATGTCATCTACGATACGCGACTTATTCCAGACTCTGCCATGCCGCCAGCAGACTATGCTTCAACTGCTGCAAAGGATTTGAAGCGGCCTGTCGTGGTCGAAGACATTGTTGACTTTTTCATTGAGTATATGAACATGGATCGCCTGGGACAGATTTCAAACAAGCACAAGATTCGGGCTGATATTAAACCGGCCGGCACTCTAGACGATGAGTGTATTCTTCTTGCCAAGCTTGCATCTGACGCTGTCGACTTCAGTAAATCAGGTGTTCCTGCCGACATGTCTCAGATTCCGCGAGGTGTGTGGATCCGACTTTGCTATTAAGCAGCATTGTCCCTTTATCTAAGCATGCTTTCCACACTCATCAGAGTCTTCACTGACACTATATGCAGGGACCGACCACTTCCGACCAGACTTCATGGCGCCCGGATCCAACCTTGTGATCAATAATCTGGGAGCAGCGGAGCTTGAGGAGCTCGAACAAGACGACATTGATGATCCCGACGGCATCAGTGTGCTAGATGCTGACAAGCTGCGGTGAGCCCACGATATAGTGCCAAAAAAGGCTATGCTGACTATGCACTAGGTACCGTTACTACCGAAGTGACAAGATTCTCGGAGTTCTGTATCGTGCCATTGACGAGAAGAAGTTCTTCGATAGGATGAAGAACGACTTTGAAGCATTCCGTCGGACGTGGGGTGGTGAGACTCTGGTGCAAAAGCTCAAGAAATACGTCGTACGAGAGACTCGTGGTATACAGTGGGATCATCATTGGGATTTCGCTGAACAGCTCCGCGAGGAGTACGAGGAGAATATGCTGGAGATTATGGATACGCTTCGACCCACTCGTGGCAGCCCTTTGACCGAACTTGAGGTCTTCAGCGGCAACATCCTCGGCAAGAAGGAACGAGCGCCATCGCGCTACATCCGCGAAGCCAATCTTGAAGTTCAGGAACGCTTCAACCGGGACGTTAGTGCCATGGTTAGGAGAGTTATCGTGGGTGACGGGGATTGGGAGGATAGTGAGGGCACGGAGACTTTGCCGCGTTCGATTGCCTGCTTCATGGTGGCTTTGGAGACGGAGGGTTGGGAGAACTATCGGAGCTTGCAGAGCTGGAAGTATGTCGCTGCGTCGGTGTGCTTGGAGCAACTGTGGAAGTACCGGGGTGGCAGACTGAGACGCCTCTGAGGCGGGTGTGCTAGGGAATATCCCTCCTATGTATGTTTGCGCTAAAGTCACTTCTCCTATGGATAGTGCGCGTAGTAAATATATGAGCGATGTTAGAATCATTCCTTTGCATTTATCACTAGAAATCTTGATAATCTGAGTAGCTATTTCTCAACTGAGAACGGCGTTAGATTCACAGCGGATTTCTCAGCAAAACAGCCTCTTTAGGTCTGTACAATATTTACTTTGAGTTAGAGTAGTCCTACAAGCGGAGCGACATGCGGATTCGGGCAGCAAAATGCGTATCTATATACGGTAGGTAGTTAGTATAGACTGCATCAAGGGTCAAAGTACATACCATACCTACCTACAGCAAGACCAGCGATGCGAACGTAGAGAAACAAAACGAACATCGCAATCAAATCCAATAATCAACATTTGTCATCCAAAGTCCCGTGCAAGCAAATGAGCGATGCAAGAAAGTCCTTCCTTCCAACCCTTTTGCACGTCCTGAGAGCGTGTAGCGCCTTTCGACGAATCAGAGTCGTGCAAAATGCTAGGTAGAGCTGGAAAAGGACTGCTATTTGCCTACCTGTGAAGAAGACGAAGCTGAACTTGATTTTATATGATCGTGGAAACGTGAATGCATGCATCTAATCATCCGTGTCTAGCGAAACCGATCTTTGGGCCTTGCATGTGCATGCTGCGCTGCGTAAGTACATACCACGGTGCGGTGTCACGGTCTCGCAGCACCAGCCCATCCAGATGATGGACCAGATCGATAACGTTATCTCATCCAAAGTGGCAGCCGTGGCAGCCCATCACCGCTGCGCGTGCTCAAAAATAAAGCGGGGCATCGCCTCTCTATGGCTCGCTAGGTAGGCCACGCTTCCAGAACCCCGTCCCTCCAAACCACTCCGAGCAATGATAGCTATGAATATATTGATAAGACTTTGTACATCTTTCATCAAGCAAACACCATCCGCTTACGTCAGCGAACAATCTTCGATGGTCTAGTGGTCATGATTTCCGCTTGTCAAAAGTTGCTTCTGACTTTCACAAGCGCGGGAGACCGGGGTTCGATTCCCCGTCGGAGAGCATCATGTGCAGTCTATCTTTTTTTTGCACCAAACCATATATGGTACTATGGGTGTAACTATGTAAAATGGGACTGGATTTTTTTATTTTTATAGATGGTGGTGCTTGCCACTTTGTAGGTATGCGGGTGGGTGGTGTGCGATCAAAAGCTGCGGTAATTAGGGTTTTGTTTTTTTGTTTTTTTTTGTTTTATTACTCTTAGGTATTTCTATGGTGGCTTTCCCCATTCGCACAAACTGGTTGTTCGTCTTTTGTAGACAATTGTTCGTTCGTCCTGTTCCGTCTTTTTGGGTGTGCCCTCTTTGGGTGCCGCGAGCTACATTCTTCAATAAAATTTTATTTGTCTCTACTCACTTATTTTAGTTGCACATGCTAGCTATTCTGCTAAATTCGGAGTGGTATCTTCGACTCAAGGTAAGTTAAACCCCGCGCGTAAATGTTTGTTTCTTTGCTGCTAGGGACGATCGAAGGGACACATGATAAGTAATAGTACAGGTAGGTAGGTATCTAGACTATAAACGCAATATCCACGTGTTTGTGTTTGTAGAAGAAAAAAATAAATAATAATATGTGTATCTATCAGCTGTACATGATTTCCGTGTAGAGACGACGCAGGAGCTACTTCAACATTTCATCTTAATCCCCCTCCTCTTCTCGCTCTCACGCCACTCAAACATGAACTGTACGCCCGTAAACAGCGCTCCGCACGCCGTAGCAAAGAAAGCCCACCCACTCCACGTCCCAACAATACCACTGACCAGATCCTTCAGCCCATCAACACCAAGCGCAAAGCCGACAAGATTGGCCGTCATCAGCATAAGGATCTCAGCGACGGCCCCAACGCCACACAGCCAGCGATATTGATCAGGGAAGTCCCTCCACTTGCGCGCCGGAAACACATAACCGGCGACAATCTCTGGAAGAACGAAGAGCGTAACGAGCCAGCCCCACATCAACAGCCTCAACTGGATATCATGCCAGATAGCAATGAAGGAGAAAACGGCCAGGTAGTTGAACACGGCCCTCGCCTTTCCGCGGACACCCTCGCCCTTATTGCCACCTAGGGGGATGTACAAATATCGCAGACTCCACTTATTAAAGCTGCGATGCCAGCCGCGCCAAAACTGCATGACGCTGTAATTATCCGACATGCAGCGGACCATGTTCTCCGGGGGGTCGATCCCATCCAGCAGGGACCAGAGGCGAAAGAAGCGCCATGGGATCAGAAGCTTGAGCCAGATGTGCTTGAGGTTGAAGAAGCCGAGCATACTAAGCTGGGTGGGCGTGTATTCGGACCATGCAGGTTTGGCGTGGAAAATGGCTACCATGTACATGTAATGGATCATGATTTCCATGGTGAGCAGCACGACGATGAAGCGGATGGCGTACATTGTTGTGCGGCGGGGGTGGATGCTGTGGGGGCGGTAACGGCATTGAGCGATGTAATCGTTGAAGGTTATGATGGGGCCCGCGAGGTAAAGGGGCGAGTACATGGTGTATGCAAAGTAGTTGCGGAAGGTGTAGGCGGTGGGCGAGGCGGGGATGCAGACACGATCTCGTTCGGAGAGGTTGGATGCGTCGAGTTGTTTCTTCTTGGAGCGTTATTAGCGTAATGGGTAGGGTGGAGGCGCGGGTGGCTTACCTCGAGGGGGCTGCTTGCTGGGGAGGACAGGCTCCAGTAGCAGTCGAGGTTGAAGCTTATGAGGCGGAGGATTGTGAAATTGAAGAGGACTTCCCAGCGCGGGATCAGGCCGCCGTAGCTGTCGAGCGTGTGGCCAAAGTTGGACCCTGGTTGATCTTTTTCTGAGCCTGTGGATGGCAGAAATGGGCCGAGAATGGTGGCGTAGGAGTAGCCTCTGGAAAATTCGTTTGCGAAGAGAGTACCGACGTTGAAGATCCATGTTGCGGCCGGTATGTATTGCCGTGGGAGCCTCGTTGCAATGCAGAAATTGGCATACAAGATAGCGACGATCTTGAAGATGGAAACACCGTGTAAAGCGACGAGAAAAATGACGGCGAAGAAAGTGTCAAATGAGATTCGCTGATTCAGCCGAGCATCCGCAGCAGCAGATGGTGTCAGGCCCATGGTGAGGCCTCCACGGCCTGTTGACGGTCGGACTTGGGTGTATGTGCCCGCTCTCCAAAAGGAGTCATAGGCTTTACGCAAAATTGGATGAAGCAGCACAACGATGAACAAGTACGGAATATTCTGACGGAAGCCAGCATATTGGGCGTCAGTGTTGTCCTAACAAGTCAGCCATGGACGTGTATAGGACTCAAGAAACAAACCACTTTGCGTCCAGGAATCCAGCCATCGGAGAGTAGATGCTCAAACTTTGAGTAATTGGGATGAGACTCTACATATCAATCAGCATAAGTTTCCTCATCTTATACGTGCAGCAACTAACCCTGAGAAACGTCAAGGACCGCCTTGAACATGAAGAAGACGCTGGCTATAATGGCCACGTAGTAAAAATAGAACTCCGTTGTGTTCCATCGTGGGGGCTGAACATTATCTCCTGAGCTCCTGCTGCCTCTATTGCTGTCCTCGACTGGTATTGGTCCTGCGGGATCAAGTTTGGCTTCCTCGAGCGCTTCTCTGGGGGGTGCCGTGGCCGGGACGACGAAGCGTGTGTCGAGGGTGTCGAGTGAATACAGCTGGCGGACGAAGGGGAACGCCATTTTCCCCTCTCCACTACCTCTTCATGTTATACACGTACAGACTGGGGAAGAGAGTGCAACAAATATATGTGGAGTAGAAGGTGAGGGGCCTGCGAGGTAGTGCACGACAGATGGGAGAGCTCCGCAACCTCAAAGTTCACGTCTTGCGACAACTTCTCTTCAACACCAGCGCCTGGCTCGCAACCGCAACCGCAGCCGCCGAAACAGGGCACAACATCTCATCCACGCGTCAATTAATTAACTAGTCTCTTGACGCCCTGCTACGAAGGCCTACGCATTGTTACAATCGCGCGCGATGAACATCCCCAACGCGTCGACGGCCCCAGCTGCGGGGGAGTACGCCGGAGGTAGCTACCGCTCCACGAAGCTTCACGAAGAGCGCATACTAAAACATTTCTACAGACGAGGTCTCCGCGATCGTCCTCGACCCCGGCTACACGACCGTACGTGCCGGTTTCGCAGGTGAAGACGTGCCCAAATCCGTCTGCCCTTCCTTCTACGGCCAAACCGCTTCAGGTCCATACCTCTTCGGCGAAAATGCAATCCATGCCCCCGTGGGCGGACTGGACATCAAGAACTACTGGGGCTCGGACGGGATCGTAGAAGATTGGGATACGGCGGCCAAGCTCTGGGAGTATGCCATCACATCGCGACTCACGGGTGCAAGACCCAGCGACCCAGCAAGGAACGGCCTCAACGAGGGCAACGATGCGAACGGGAACGGGGAAGCCATGGACGTGGACATGGACGCATTGGAGCAGAATGAGAAGCCACTAGAAGACAATCCGCTACTCGTCACCGAGCCGGGCTGGAACAGCGCCAAAGCACGAGAAAAGTACATCGAAATCGCAATGGAGGACTGGGGCACCCCGGCCTTCTTCCTCCAAAAAACGGGCGTCCTCGCCGCCTTCGCAGCCGGCAAAAGCTCGGGCATCATCATCGACGTCGGCGCTTCACACACCTCCGTCACGCCCGTCCTCGACGGCATGGTGCTACGCAAAGGGGTGCAAAAATCGCCGTTGGCAGGCAACTTCGTGAGCGACCAGATCCGCACCTCGTTCAAGCAGTCCAGCCCCGAGATACCCTTAACACCCCACTACATGATCAAGAGCAAAACACCAGTCGACGCCGGTACGCCCGCACAAGCTGTATACAAGACCTTCCCGGACCCGCCAACACCCTCCTTCCGCGCCAACGAAGAAGAGCGCGTCCTCACGGAATTCAAAGAATCCGTCGTGGAAGTCTGGCCCGGCCCTGGCCGCTTCACCACGCCCACCAACGAAGAACTAGCCAAGAGCATGCCGGGCCGCCCCTTTGAAATGCCCGACGGCTGGAACCAAGTGTTCGGCATGGAACGCTTCCGCGTCGCGGAAGGCCTCTTCGACGCCTCTGCCGCCCTGCCTTCCGACACCTTCCCCACGCCCCCGAAACCAGACCACACCATCCCCCGCCTCGTGCAAGCCGCCGTCCAGCAAGTCGACGCCGACCAACGCCCGTTGCTCCTCTCCAACATCGTCGTCACCGGCGGAAGCACACTGCTGTACAAATTCAACGAACGCCTCAACTACGAAATCAACGCTATTTACCCCTCTACCCGCAACAAGCTTATTGCCCCTGGTAGCGTCGTCGAGCGCAAGTATGCGGCTTGGATTGGGGGCAGTATTCTCGCTAGTTTGGGCAGCTTTCATCAGCTGTGGATCTCTAGGAAGGAGTATGAGGAGCATGGCGCGGGTATTGTGGAGAAGAGATGTCGTTAGGGTTCGCATCAGAGCGTTTCGTTTGCTCCGACTGAGCGGCTGAGCGTCGTGGATGACGATGTGTGCTTGTGATTGTGGATTTTTTTTTTTTTTTTTTTTTGTTGGTGGGCGTTTGGGGGGTTGAGGAAAATGGCGTAGATTTCCTTGGAGAAAACGCGGCTTTTGTTTACTGCTAGCTAGGCTATGCTTTCCGTTTTATACGGCAGGGTGGAAAAGATCAAGGCCTGAATATCTTCACACGAGTTTGATTCTAGTCGCCGTCCTGACACAGCTCAACTGTACCCACGACTTGTTCAATGGAGGACGTTTGTTGTCTGTCATGATCGCATTGCCTTCTAGCTATCCGGCTATCTTGGGGATCCGTCTGAACCTCCTGCCCGGCTTATAGTACATGTTCGCATGTTCGTAACGCCATGTCTTGCACCACGCTGGAGACCTCGACAGCCCTCTACGAATCTATATCCATCGTCTCCGCCGTGCCGGTAACGGTGTCATCATTGAGTTCATGCACAGTAACGTATTTGCTGATCTGCTCCTTGGTGATGATCTTCTCATTCAGCA